ATATTAAGCAACATGCCTGTCCTTAGCAGTTACAATTCCACTCAGACATTTAAATGACAAAGATTTAAAGGACACTGAAATGCGCTCGTCACCCCTATACATAAAGATTACGAGTCCTATGTGTCTGTGGTTTGCCAGCAACACTACCCTTCACAACCGGAACGCAGTAATGCGCATGGCGGTAGAAATAGGTCCCGTGGCAGTACTTGCCTGGATGAACTCTTCCTGAATGAAATTATTTATCGGTTGTCGGTTTTTCGCCAGATATGGTCAGCCTACAGAAGGGTTAGCGCGACTTGGCGCGACTTCCGCGAGAGCGACATAAAGTTTGAGATGTCTGTGCGAGAACAGCAGCATCTCGCGCTTTATGTCTCTCTCGGACAAGTCGCGCCCTATCGTGCTAGCCCTTCAGCTTGTTTATTCTACCTGAGGGCCTACCATAACCATCAAACTACAATCTTATTTCAATGTAAGCTTATATTAAGCTTATTATAATGTTACTCAAATTCGTACCATGACAAACCTGTAAACCAAGTAATGTATTATTGTTAAAGTGACCGAAAGAATTAATGATTTCCCAACATTGACTTACAATTATATGGACGTCGGGTCCGCGCTAAAAAGTGTCCGCACTTGTAAGGCGCTAAAATCGTATACAGAGCGCCAAACTCCGCTTTAGTCTTCATTTGTTCGACTGACAGCGCGATACTGCGATGACATTACAATTTAAATTTCGAACAGGTTGACATGGGACATTTTTTTCGTGGTTTTTGTATTAGACCCGTCGTCCATTTATTTGTAAGTCAATGTTTCCCAATATTGTTTATTCCTTACTAAAAATAGGAAAGAAATAACGCTATATGAACTGTCTAATGCCATCTTTTTCTTTTTTGATGTTCTGAGTCGTCCTATCGTAGTATAATGTTATAGTACTTAATGTTACTTACATTCAGAGAATTTTAACTGCCAAAAAAAGAAAAGTATGTAATAATGATATCTATTGAAATTACACTGTTTTTAATTATTTTTCCGCATTTTCATGAAGAAAAATAAATAAAACAAGCTGGGTCTTGATTGTCATGTTGTGAATTCGGAATTATAGTCTAGTGTCAACTGTTAGTGTCGCCGAGGAGCACATAGATGTCGCTGTTATAATTTTACGAAATAAACATCGCCTATTTTTATTTGACGAGAAATTTTTTCTTATGTACCTACTATTAAATAAAAAAATAAACAATATATTGAAGACATATATGTAAATAATTAAGTTCAAATTAACTTTTAATCATTACAAAGTAATAGTGCTTCCATTGCATCCATGTAATTATTTTAAGATTGCTAAATTTGACATAAGAACCATACTACTTTCGAAGATTTTTATAAAGAAAACGAATATTCAGTTGGAAAAAGTAACGGCTGTATTACGAATCACAGACATAAAAAGCAATAGGCAAAGTTGCCTGACCATAGCTAACAACTCTATTATTATAATGGCTAGGGAGCCTACGTAAATGGTTACATACATAAATGTTTTCTGTGTTCATATTATACTAACAACTTTAATATCAAATTCACGTCATAGTACGAACTGAGTGAATAAATAGTCGGAAAGCTGCCAATAAAACATCATAGTTTAAACATTGTAACAAGCTTACTTTATTCGCGTCATGGTACGAAAGGTCAATGTAAGGTTAAAGTAACATTATTTTAAGAGGTTGTGGTAGGCCCCCTGCAATGTCGACAACCTTGGTTCTATGCTGGATATTCTCATTCCGGACCGTATCCTTCAGTGAACCTCCTACCATTTATCTCGTTCCATAGCTCACTGAACGACTTTTTCTACAATTTTCCCAAAGATTATCGTAAATATATTTAATGTTCTAACTCTTCTAACTATAAAACAGAAAATTTCAACAAGGGCAACGCCCTGGGGCGTGAAGGCTGACAACATTTCTCCGTTATTCTTATTGTTTTATGAAGTCCTGCAAAATTCCTTTGAGACTCATAACTCAGTTGGACGTAATTATGTTAAATAAGGCAGAAAATGCTATATATTTATGTTGCAAAAGGTGTACGAATTTGGATTGGTGCGTTTTTTTGCGCCTATCAGTAAAATAGATAATATCCTGCTAAGTCATGGTTAGTAATTAATTAGTAAAAACCCTTCATTGTAGAGTGCACTTGCCATTGTTATGAGTCAGATATTTGGCACTGCAGAGAATAAAGGGCGTAATAGCCATAATACAAAGATTACATCAAAAATATAAAAAAGACATGAACTTACGTTTAAGTAAAGAAGCCAGTTTAAGCGAAATGCAAAACACGGAGTGGACAGAGCAATCGAGCATAACAATGTAACCCAGTTTCATAAATAAAAAATATTTGATAGTAAAGGAAACCTTTCATAAATTTCTCACAAGTGACGGCAAAAAGCCGTTAACAAACCAAAAAACAAAGGTCTGTAACAAACGCATAGAGAAATTAGTAAGGTCTATCTAGGGTCTAATTAGGACTCGATCTAGGTGGTTGCCCTAGATTGGCATACAGATGCAGGTTCGAGTTCTGTCAGGTGAACGAATTTTCTTTGTGTTTGATCTTTGTATTAATAATTATAAAAACAAATGATAATATTGGCTGCCCTTCCTTGTAGTATCATATAAAAATGGAGTCTCAGCTTTTCTTTTAACTTATAAAAAGGTTACGTTTAATCGATTTGGCGATATATTTTCAAGTAACTTTAAAACTCACTTGAATGACAACTGAGATGCGGTCACTAAGATAACCGTGAGTATTGCCCAGAGAATTTCTAATAAAGAATATAGCACTCTATAAGAATGAACTTTGACAGTATCGGCATAAAAAATGCGCAGCAATTCATTGAGGTACGGACGTGTAATGCAGAGGGATGAAAGTCAATCGGAAGCGATCGGAGTTACCCGGAAGGAGTTAAATGTAAACGGGGAGGGAAAAAACAAAAAAGAAGATTAATGGATTGTGTGAAAGATGATATTTTTATGCAAAGTGGCAAACAGTCAGATCCAGCGGACGGCAATATCGTAAACACCGTCTATAGACTTAAAATTGCAAATGTGTTGGCCGCCGTGAGACGTAAAGTATTCAGTGTTCTGTACAATCACAGGATTGTGCCGGCTCTGCTTACCTTTCAATCCAAAACTCAACATTTGTGGTAGAAATGAAGGTGATGGTGCCTTCAGGTGGGTAGTATATTAATATTTGCAAAGGAAGCGAGCAACGATATGACGAATGACAAAGATGAAAGGACCAAGATAACATACTGCGCCAACTGAAAAAAAAAAATGGGATAAGCCGTAACCATTGCGAACCATCGGGAAATTATAAAGAAATCATACCGTGGTAAGAAACACAGGTTTCTTAAATGATAATCAGTTACTGAATAACCCCGAAATTCTTCAAATCTTAAAAGACTGATGATGACAAAAGTGTCTGTAACATCTTAGGCCAGAAATAAGAAAGAGATTCGCAAGTAACATGGATAAAAATCGTCACCATCTACATTTCAACTTCACCCATTCCTGGCAGAAAAAAGGGCCATCCATAGTTTGTGCAATCTACTACGACCTAGCGCTAGTCTTTCCCATCTACAATCCACGACTTTCGGGACCCATATCACTGCGTAATAAAAAGTCACCTCATTTTGTCACACTCTGTAATGAATCTTATATTGACTTTATTATTGGTTTTCTAGAATATTCAGTAATTTAAAGCAAGGGTATCACAATCAGTTTCAGAAAAAGATAATGGCTACGCTTGACAGGCAAGTTCCTCATAGCCACGGGACTTCGATCTAGGAAATGAGTCAAGTGTATCGAAAATTACGAGACGCGGTTCACGCGCGCGTTATTGGCTTCATTCGTGACTGTAAAAGTTGCTTTGGTTGTGATCTACCTTCTTCGTCTATCTGGTGTTTTCCTTTCGTTTGGTATGTCCCCAGGGACAGCATTCAAAGATTCACTGCTACCTGCCTCCAGGGACTTTGTCATTTTCTCCGAAACCTGCAAGAACTTAAGGACATCCTTTTTGAACAAGTAACCATAGGAACACATAGTAAATTATACCGAGTACGGCGAACGATTTTTAAAAGCTAACAAAGAACGCTCTCCTGTGCTCTTGAAGTTGTAAACAATGTTTGCAAGTACGTAAACCTTTTGGATTAAGATAAGGCTCGTAATCCCTATTCCCTAACTTAAGCTATCGGGTAGCTAAGCTTGCCCTGACTCTGGAGATTTAGAGTAAAAGAGATAAGAGTCAAGAGCAGTACTAGTGTCTACTGTTATGACGACCTTCAATTCAATGTAAATTTTCATATAAAATAAAAGTGTTTAATGTGTTTTTTTTTTGATACCAAATCACGGGATGAGCAAGTCATGGGCCTTGTAGTAAGCCTACGTAGATCTAAGTAGACGATAAGATCGGAGGGACACTGCCACTGCAGCCGTCACCACTCAAAACCGGAACGTAATAATATTCACGTTACTGCTTAGCGATAGAAATAGACGAAGTGGCAGTATTGCCGTGGACGAATTCTTTCACAAAGAGCTGCTTGCTACTGCTACTTGCTAGCCACAAAACATAACAATTACCGGTAGCATTCTTAACGCCAATCATATGCGTTTAATCATGGGAAAATGTCGTTAATAATTCAAATAAACCAATCACAAGTCTTAACGTAACAATTACCAATCGCTTTATTAACACGCTGACCAACGAAATTCGTTTAATTGTATTGTGCTGTTAGTAATTTTACTTATTGTGTTTATAAAATGAGTAGATCAAAGTCTTTGAGTTGATTTAAGTATAATGTTCTATAGTTTATCTTTAACTATTGTGAGAGATACCTTTGTCATCACGGGGTGCCATCTTCAAATTCAAGTTTGGAGGTCTATGTCACCAAAAACCATTTTCTCTTCGGTATTCTTGAAAATGTTATATTTAAATTCTGTTTTATTTGTTTCAGTGGAAATCACGTTGGTGCGTTATGAGAAAGCTGTCACCAGTTGCAGGTGAGTGATCAACATTCAAGTATAACTTTATCGTTAACTAACGACATCGATTGCTTATCAAGCACTTTGTAGCTGTGTCAAAATATATACATAATTGAATTTAAGAGCATAGGTATAAATAACGCACACACTCAAGATAGCCCCGCACTAGTGAAACCCTGTGTCGCTGGTTACATACATAGACAACCACAAATTACACGCAAACTCGCGAGAGAAATAAATGTAGGCCATACAAATATTTCCCGGGAATCGAACCTGGGACCTCAGGGTAGTAACCTTGCGGCCACAGAGGCAGTCAAAAGCTAGACGAATAAAAAAGCGTAGACGATTAGCGACTACATCGTTCTAAGGTGCACTACAATTGTTTTCATGAGAAATGCACTGCTCATGGCAAATGGAATAAGGTTCTATTTTTATCACACCTTCACTTAGAACGCTTAGATAATTTTGACTGCACGTACCCATATCATGTTGTTATAACTTTTCGGAGACATGTCAAGATCCGGACCCGTATCACGCAACATGGTGGTCTGTGGTGTAAACTGTGTACACCATCAGAACATCGTACCATTAACAAGAAAGTGTCATAATTCAAAAAAACATTTTTTGAGAAAATGACGAAACAGATAGAAAAAAAGAAACATTATAATAGTAACCGTAACATTTTGATATGAAAAACGACGTATATGAATCGTTTCGTATTTTATTTGTTAACTGACATCAAAAAAAGGAGGAAGTTCTGAATTCGACTCTATTTTTTTGTATGTATGTTTAGGATATTACGGTTCGTGAACCGACCGTTTGTGTCCCATTTACATTTGAAGAAAATATTCCACCTCTAACTAGGGGATGAATCCGGTGTAGCGCACTTTCCGGTTACCGATTACAATAAAATTTTGCAAATAGATGTAATTCCACGAAACTTTTTACGTCGTCTTTTTTTTATAAAAAAAAATATTTCTTGTAATGTTCTGAACTGACCCTAAGAATTTTAATCAGATAGTACAAAAATGCTAAATGTGGCATTTAGTGAAGAGAGAAGCGATTATGGGCTTTGATGTAAAACAATAAAACACATTTCTTATTTTAATAGTAGTAGATTTAAAATTGCAACAAACATCAGTATGTTCGTGGTGGTCCACAAACGAAGGGATCCCATTAAACTTTGTGGGGCGATAAGCAAAAATCCTAAATCCTACACGATCCGTTTTCGCTCAGACAGACACTATTGGAACAGGTACTATTGGAACTCGATTTTGTAGTTTTTTTTTATTTGTTTATCAGTCATAATTAATTATAGTAACATTCTAATTTAGTTTAGATTATTAAATGTAAATGTTAATGCACTCATTACAACCACAAATTACACCCAATTTGCTTCCATTTTTATTAACGTGGAAGTAATGCCTGAATCTATCAATTACTTAAAAATGTGATAGTTTGTGTAGTTTGCGGTTACTAAATATGCATGATGCAGGGACAGAATTACATTCGACACGCTTTTTGGATCTGAAAAATAACTTCATTTCCTATGTGTAACAATCGTGAAAACCTAAGAACTTGATATAAATTGAACCCAACCATAAAACGTTCATCACACGGTTTCTCAACATGCTTTTACGTCACGAGCTTATTGTATAGGTTGTATATCATCAATATTATTTGACAGATTGGATATTTCAGTCATTCACGTTGTGTGACGGCGAGAATTGGGTCTTACGGGTTTATAAATAAGAATAGACTACACCGGACGTAACCTCAAATATTTTTTGTATTACTAATATTTGTAACAATAACAAAGCGTTATTTGTGTAGGCGATTTGATGTCATACGGTTTCTGCACATCAAGGTCAACTGCGCTTGAGTTTTTTACGATCTATCTTCTTAACGTGAAAGTAACTATTGGTATGATATTCAATTCAAAGGCCTCACAGTCACTGGTCTTAAAATTGTTGAATGACGTGTTTTTGTATTTATTTTTAGGCCTTTTTATATTGTCGAGTGACGGGACGAGCAAATCAAGCGCCTGGTAGTAAGCGACACTCATGTCCAGGACAGATGCGGTGTCACTCAGAAAGATCTGAGAGGCACTACCACTGACAAGTCCCATCTGTCTGTAATTTCACCAGCACCCTCCCTTTTCCAAATCGGAACATAGTAATGCTCTCATTAATACTACTTGACAGCAGAAATAAATAACAGCAGTACTTCCCTGGACGAACTCTTTCACAAGGAGGTGTACTGCTACTAAAATAATGTTCTTTTATTCTTATTTTTACACGCATGCACGCACGCTCGCACGCACGCATGCTCGCACGCACGTATGCACGCACGCTCGCACGCACGCACGCTTGCACGCACGCAGCCTTACTCTAATCTTATCTTAAGTTATTATCAACCTTATTTCATAGTGTTTTTCTTTTTTATTATTTTTCAGTAAGTAAGTAATACATCTTAAATTGACTTAGATATTATTCTGGGTTGGAGACCTGGTAACCCAAGACACAGGGTCAACCTAGTTTGGGCACCAGTCTCCGGTTGAGATCTCACTTGAATGTTTTTTTTAAATTGTATGTGAATGGGAGAGAATAAACGAGTATCATTATTATAATTTTTTTTAATATTCTTTCTTTTTGCGGAGTATTTCAAACATAGGTAGTGCGTTTTGTGGCTTATTATACTGCCACTTTGTTCCTCCTATAGCTTATTATGAGCTGTACCGTCGGATGCTATTGGGCGCTTGTCGCAGTCGAATCTGTGTCAAATTCTCTCCGCCTGTACTTATTTTATTGCGATCCTATATTTAGGTGGCCCCCACACCTCACGCGTTCGAATACCTCAAACTAATAAAATGGTTACAGATAAAACTCAAAAATACACAAAAACAAAACTCATTTATTGTTTTTTGTACATCGCGGTCAACTGTACATGAGTTTTTTACATGGTATTTTTGTGTTATAGTGAAAGTAAATGTTAGCAATTTAGATCTCTTAGAAAGAACAATGGTAAAATCATAGTTAAAAGAATTTGTTAGGGTCTTCAAATGTCTTAATTACGAGTACAAGTTTGAATAAAATATATTCAATAAAATTAATTCATTAGGTTTTTCAAATTATGATAGCGGCCTATCTAAGTTTGGAAACAAAATCATATTTAAAAGAAACTCTAATGACTAATTAGTATATAACCGGACTGATAGCTACAACTATCAGTTTTTTAACTTTGATCGACATCTAGCCGCCAAAAAAGTAATTTCAGTACCTACGTATGGATATGGTCCACATTTAGTTCACGTAATATCAAAATGTGCTGATTCGACCGATTTTTAATAAGATAATAAAAGATTAACTACTAATAAAGTAAAGTAAAGTAGGAAAAATTAAATCGATAATTTCTTCTCCAAAATACCACGCGAGAAAACGGTAAAACTGACAAAAAAGTTCCCAAAATCTGGGATAAATGGCACGTTTTACAAAAAAAGAAAATTGTGTCCGAGTTACCGGTACAAGTCTGTGGTGTGTTATTAATTAACTCAGTGTTTTTGTTATACTTTAACTTCACGCCTTTTGACCATACCAGTATACAAAATAATTTCCTCTGAAGTTTCGTTACGTCACAAACCCACGGCACCATTCCGCTTCTATTAACTCTGTTTAAGGCTTCTGTACATTATTTTGATATAATAATACACCGAATATATTTTATTCAATTACTTAACACATAACCTCCAAAACTTTAAACCGGAATATCTTTAATGCCTGAGTTCTCAGAATAGTAAACCAAAACAAAATTTGTTCAGGAATTTCAACTCTATATTTTCACATATTTTTCATAAACAGACGCATACAAATTACATCAACAAACATTTATATGCGAGTTTGCCATTGTCCTTTTACTTTAAACCCACATATACATGTCCTAAATAAATTACTATAGTATAATATGTGGTTAATGTGGATATACTCATAGTCTCGAGGGCACACGTCACATGATAGGGGCAGAGAGGGGGTCAGTCTGTGATCGACAGTCGGCCCAGAGGCACTTTGTGGTGCAAGGCGAACCAAAAAGCCAATAGGCGAGAATACTACAATTACTACCTAAATATCTTATTACTTATACACCATCTAATGATACAAGACATGACCTTACAAAAACAAGCAGTAGGTTTCGAAATCCATAAAAAATTCTCAACGCCATCTAGCGTTATAACCGATACACTTACGGACATTCCAAATTCAAACACGCCTAGATTTGTTAAATCCATTCGAGTTCCAATAGTACTACTTTCAACTCGTATGTTTGTTACCGACTACCGATGGCGTACGAGTCATTTCACACAGAGGGATTACTTGGGGTGGCGTCATGCCACATCTTGCCACCAGGCATAATAGATAAGGTTCCTTTGAATCAGTGATTGCGGTGAACATCTTAAATGCAATACACAGATGTACAATCAGAACGTAATTTGGACAGTGAATTCGGAATGAGAACATAATCCATGACGAGGAAAAACTATTTACACGCACCTGCACATTTAACGGAACACTAATAAAATCACCAAAATTATAGTCTAATTAGAAAATAAAACTTTAGTGGACAGTCATTTTATTAGGAAATGAAAGTATGTTATCCGATCTATTCCACGTCCCCAGAGACGTGACTGGCTCCCTGGAGCGCTTTAAAAAAGAGACTGACCCGCGGCACCCATTACATTATCACGTGCTGGTAATCCAAAGGCTAAAGAGTCGGCATAGCTTCATTAAAGAAGTATTCCCTCTGGACGGGGAAACTAATCAAGTCCGTATAAATCTCTGGAAGGAGAGATACTCCCTCCTGGGCGTAGTCTACCAAGGCACACTTGGAAGTCTTTAAATAGACTGCGGACCCAAATTGGCCGAAGCAAGGAGAGCATGCACAGGTGGGGTTATAGCTCTGAGAGCGCATGTATTTGTGGTGTCTCTCCCCAAACTATGGCACATCTTTTGTCTTGTCCTGCGTGT